GGGGTCGCTATGAGTCGGTTCCGACTTGATGGCACCTGACAACAACAAGAGTCCTGGTATGGCACTGTGAGTTAATGTACTGGACCACAAGGTCAGCAGTTCAAGCTCACCAGTCACTTCTTGGAAACTCTATACAGGGTCACTATGAGTTGGAACTGACTCCACACCACTAAAACAACAAACAATTGCATATAAAGGACTCCTGGTATGGTGCTATAGGATCAGCACTGGACTTCTAACCACAGGTCAGCAGGGTAACTATGGGTCAGAACCAACTCAACAGAATCTAACAGTATTTTACACACTGAATGTAAAAGTTATGCTTATATTATACTGTAGTCTATTAAGTATGCAATAGCATTATGAAAAAAGTTTGAAATATTGCGAAAATTGCCAAAATGGGATACATAGACATGAAGTGAGCACATGCTATTAGAAAATGGTGCTGATAGACTTGCTCAATATAGTGTTTCCGTAAACCTTCAATCTGTAAAAAACACATCATCTGCAAAGTGTGCAATAAAGCCAGCATGAAAAAATGAGATATACTTTATATGAAATTCTTTGCCAAGACTAAAATTTAAAGTCATCAATTCTTTGATCTCCCTTATTCCTTATCTGGCTTTTACATACATATGAGGTGTTGAAAATAGCATAGCTTAAGTCAAGTGCACCTTAGTCTTTAAACTGACATCTTTGCTTTTTAACATTTTAAAGAAATCTTTTGCAGCAGATTTCTCCAGTGTATTACATTGTTTGATTTCTTGACTGCTGCTTCCATAAACATTGATTGTGGATACGAGAAAAATGAAATCCTTGGCAACTTCAAACTTCTCTCCATTTGTCATGATGTTGTTTATTGATCCAGATGGGAAGATTTTTGTTTTCTTTATGTTGAAATGTAATCATGCTGAAGGTTGTAGTTTTTTTTTCTTCCTCAAAAAGTGCTTCTTGTTTCCTTCACTTTCAACAACCTAGATTGTGTTATTTGCATCTCTCAAGTTGTTAATGAGTTTTCCTCCAGCCATGATGCTGCATTCTTCATATAGGCCCATGTCTTAGTATGGATTCTTTAGAGAAGCAAAACCAGTGAAACTTTGTTT